GATGATGCATATGAGCATTCAGAGATCTCACAATTGTCCTGATACAAATCCCAGGGTCTCAAATTACAAACCCCAACTCACGTTAGAAACCCCAAATCCAGCATAGTTCTATGAATACAGATTGTAATGAAGGAAAAAAATCTGTGCTGCAGGTGTGTCCCACCTCAGCTGGTATCTTTACCTGTAGGCAGGCCTCTGAGAATCTCTTGTACGCTTTCCTCAACTGCATGTAACTCAGAAGAGAGAGGAATCATTCCTTGTGTCTATTCCGTGCACTCGCCCACTCATACTTTTGCTCTTGGAATAAAGAGCTGTTACTGCCCTACTTGAGGACTCTATCCAGGTCATTCATTCCTTTGCATCACTTCCTCAGAAGACCCCATGTGAAATCTTATGTATGTAGAAATCACCTCTCCAGAGTTCCACCTTTTCGGATACTCGGGAGACCTCTTGATCTTCCTTCCCTCTCTCCTTTCCTGGGAGGAGCTGGGCCATAAACCAATGTCCCCAGGTCTCTCAGGTGTTTCCCCAAGGATGGATGAAGAAAAGTGTAAACTCAGTTGCTGCACTGGTGTGGGGATGTTGGGGCTTGGTTATTTGACCCCAGATATTCAGCATCAAGATTTAGAAAATCCTTGTATGTCCTTCCCCTAGTTTACCTCAAAGGTAAAGGAAATAGCAGTACTTCTCAGGAGTCAAAAATGTCTTTGATGGTCCTAGAGTTTTTGAATTCCTTTTGCATTTTTATCTTTCTCTTTTTTTTTGGGGGGGGGGGATAAGTAGTGAAACACAGTAACCACAGTGTATCTTTTAATAAACATGTCTGGAGACATCCAACTTTTCATCTTAAAGTTGGATTATTTTTAGAATATTGACTATTTTGCACCAGGTTCACAATGAGGAACATGGTCTTTTTATTTAAAGAGTGTAAAAATCCAGTGGGATCTAGAAAGGAAATATTTACCATATATTTTCATAGCACTATCACTACAGCATAGATGGCAGTGAGTTAAGGGGGAACACATAGAAAATATCTCTGGGATCAAGGAAACTTTCCCAGAGGAAATAAGTGCCACTTAATCTGAGAACTGAAAAATGAGATTGGTAAGAATATGGTAGTTGTGAGCAGGGTAGGATTTTGCTACAGACAAATAAAAAGTTGCACAAGTCATGGGGCCAGAGAACATATGCCAAATTCAAACAAAAGCAATTCTAGTATAGCTAGAACAACAAAACATGTTGGGAACATTTGACACAAAGCAGGTTCTAACCATGAGATTCTTACAAATCATGTGAGGAGCTTTAACTTTACCCTAA